CAAATGAGAAGAAAAAGTCCAATGAATGGTGATGAGACTGCACCAGCAGGTCCATCCACTCAAGGGATAGACCTCCCACTACTTCAGCATGAGTCACAGCCTTGTGAGCAAATCGCTGCGCCTCCGTGGGTTTCCAACGGTGTCTCCGACTATCTGTCTGCATTTTGGTATCTGTGAAAGAAACCTGATGGTTCTTCCTTATTGGCTGCTCCAGATCCATAAATTACTCCTGTTCCTCAATTTAGCTGAGAATTTCAGTGAGGTGAGTGATACAGGCTGAAGAAACCAAGTGCCTGAAGCAAGAGACAGATGGCTGAACCCATGATTCACCAGCGATGAGCTGCAATTGGGCCATGTAAACTTTGATGTAATTCATTACAATTGTATCTGTTCTGTAGGGGGAGGATTTTCCTCAATGATTTGTATGACCTTGCTAAACCCAGATAGGTGGTAATTGAGCAGCAACTACTTCTTCAGAAGAAACAGAATAAAAATATTGAAAATATTGACTCACCCCAAAGGCAGTAAGCAGCACTTTGGTCTTTGACCTTTAAGCATCCTAGGGTAGTCAATAACCTGGCTGTTAGATGCTGTGCCTGCCACTGATTTTGATTTGGGAGTAGTTTAACCTTGAACCAAGATCCAAGTAACCACGGCAACAGGAAGTCAGCCTCTCCATCCAAGGAGTGGGAATCCATAAATCAAGGTCCCTAATGCAAACACTGTGTGCAGGTAGAGATTTGAGAGGATAAGTGGTTTGTGAGGGATTACCTTTGAAAAAAATGAATGACTGTCCCTTGATATGTTGAAGCACAGCTTCACAGAGACTTTTTTTTTTATCAATAGAGGTCAACAGGTTACAGCTGCATGTATTCGTACAGCTCTTTATATAGGCCCTTCAGTTTAATTAGAACCAGATGTTGAATTTATGAGGTTGTTAGCATTATTATGTACCATATGCACATGCATATATGTGTGTGTGTATTGTTACATATTCCCACATATGCACATTTCTTGCACACAAACTACATTCATGAATATATAATGTTAAGTCTCAAACTCAAGCACTATGGAATAATGAAAACTGAGTTTTGCATATGCACAGTTCCACTGTGCTGAGATCCCACAGGCTTCATTACTTGGTCAAATATCCCAGTTATTCAATGTTTTATTCAATGTATAGTGCTCACCTAACAAACAGTTATTTGGTAGTTAGATTTTGCTCTTGCTATTCAGTGTGTGACATCATGACTCATTTATTCCACATTTCTAAGCCTCAGTGTGAACAGATGAATGTTTCATGAATGTTGATAATTTTGTTTTTGCAGCACTGTTCTTGAGATGAGGGGTATATTATTGTTCTCATTTGCAACAGAGAAGCTGAGCAGAGAGAGATTGAAGTTGAATGGATATAATTTGATATGCTTAATACTTGGTTTGAGGATCTGGAAGGATATGTGGTCTGATAGGCAGAAACTGCTCTTCATATCCCCACCAAGCCATGACCTGTCATTCTGTCTTGTGACTATTTTTGCACTTAGACCTATTCTCCTCTATTAAGTCCCAGACTGATATCAGGTCACAGGTCCGTCAGGACTCCTAACTCTGACTGCCCCACTCCGCAGCCCTATCTTTCAGACTCCCCTCACAATGCAGTTCTATGCCTGAGTCTTCTGGAGATCTCTTCCAGAGTTTTTGAGACAGCCCATAGTTCTCATGATAATTCACATTTCACGTGCAAGGAGCAAAGGTAGGTACTGTTAATAGCAGCTCCAAGATACAAATACAAGGAAGTGTTGGTATCTGGAGAGGCTGAGCTCAGCCAACAGACATAGAAGTTTGTGCAGCAGTTTCTGGCTCTGCTTCAAGATCTTCTTGATCGTCTGGGAAAGATATCAGGGTACTTGTAGGAACTCTTTGAGGAACTACCTGGTGCTATCCAGGTGCAGCCAGGGATAGCAGGGAACCCTTACTGCTGCAGGGGGCAAAGGTGTCCATCTGCTGACCTGACCTGCTGCCCAGGGGGGTTTGATTCTGGCCTGGGGCTTGGATCAGGGAAGTTGTGGAGACACACCAAACCAAATATGAGTGGCAAATCAAATCAAGCAAAGGTGGCAAGAGACTTTCAGGAATGACTAAGGAGCTCCTGAGTAATGATGTCAGACAGAAAAAGGAAGCAAAAAAAGAGGTGAAAGCAGGAACAGGTGATCCCAAGAACAATAGAGACAATGTTCAAGCATGCAAGGATGGCCTTAGAGAGCCAAAAGCTTATGTGGAGTCGAGTCTAGCAAGGGCAGAATGGCAACAAGAAGTGTTTCTACAGATACCTAAGCATCAAAAAGAAGCCTAGGGAAGATGTCAGCCCACTGCTGAATGGAACAAGGACCCTGGTAGCAAAAGGCTGGCAAAACAATGAGACATTATAGGACTAAGACATTGGCTTCTTTGCTTTGATCTTTAAGGGTAAGACCAGCCTTCGGGAATCCCAGACCCCTGAGACTGATTGGGAAAGGAAACTTAGTCTTGGTTGAAGAGGATCTGGTAGGGAAGAGTTAAACAAACTGAACATACATAAGTCCAGGGGACTTGACCAAATGCACCCAAAAGTGCTGAGGATGCTGGCTGATGTCATTATGAGGCCACTCTTGATTATTTTTGAAATGTTGTGGTGACTAGGAGGAGATCTTGAGGACTAGAAGAGAGCAAATGTCAGTCCAATGCGAGCAAGAACACCCAGGGAGCAAGAGGCTGGCCAGCCTCATCTTAATTCCTGGTTGTTGGAGCAAATAATCCTAGAAAGCACTCACGGTGTCAGTACTGGGACCAAAACTATTTAACATGTTAGTCAACGACCTGGGTGATAGGGCAGAGTGCACCTTCAGCAAATTTGGAGAAGATAAAAAACTGGGAGGAATGGTTGTCATACCAGAGGGTCATGCTGTCATCCAGAGGGACACCAACAGTATGGAGAAATGGAGAAACTTAAGAAGTTCAACAAGGACAAAGGCAAATTTGTACGCCTGGGGAGGAATAACACCATGCACCAGTACCTGTTGGGGGCTGGCCAGCTGGAAAGCAGCTTGGCAGAAAAGGCCCTGGGGCTCCTGGTGGACACAAAGTTTACCATGATCCAGCAATGTGCCCTTGCAGCAAAGAAGGCCAAGAGCTTCCTGGGATGCATTAGGAGAAGTGTTGCCAGAAGATCAAGGGAGGTGATCTTTTAGATTTATCCAGCACTTGTGAGGCCACAGCTGGAGTACTGTGTCCTGTTCTGGGCTTCTCAGTACAATAAAGATGTGGATATATGGGACAGAGTCCAGTGAAAGGCCACAAAGATGAATAAGAAGCCTGGAGCATCTCTCCTATGAGGAAAGACCAAGACAGCTGGAATTGTTCAGCCTGGAGAAGAGAACGCTTAGGGGGAACTTACCCATGTGCACAAATGTCTGGTAGGGAAGAACAAAGAAGATGAAGCTAAACTCTTCTCAGTGGTGCCTAGTGACAGGACAAGAGGTAGTGGGCACAAAGTGAAACACAGAAGGTTGTGTCTGAACATCACAAAATGCATTTTTATTGTGAGAATAATTAAGGACTTGTAGAGATCACCCAGAGCGGTTATGAGGTCTCCATTCTTGGAGATATTCAAAACCTGACCAGACATAGTCCAGGGCAGCCTGCTCTAGCTAACTGGCTAACTGTGCTAAGTACAGTTGGACTGTAGTAATCTCAAGAGGAGTCTTCCAAACTCAGCTGCTCTGTGATTTTTGAATCTTCATATAATTTAATTGCCAAAACCTGATGGATTATATCTTAGGCCCATGTGCAAGTTGAGATTTGAAAAGAGAAAGAATTTATGAAGGCTTACTTCTGAAAAATGAATGCATGTACTGGGTGACTGATGCCTACCCAGCATCACAGAGACCAAGAGAGGCTTTTGTAAGTTGACAAAGACACAACACAAAGTCTTCACCCTAGCAGGCTTTTGCTCCAGTCTCACGAGGGTGGCTACTGGATTTTTACAAAACACCAACTGGTAGAAGTTTTCTAAAATGGGCAAAAACAACTTCCAGGCTTATTGTAAAAAGTGACTGAAGCATTTCAGCTGCCTTTCCACTTGGTAAATTCATATAATTATAGATATATATGCAATATGTATACACACACATGAACTCACAGAAATATTACATATAAATGGATCGATACATATCGAGCTGTATTAGGCAGATAGTTAATATGTAAAATTTCAATCCGAGCAGTTTAAATTTGACACATTTACAAGCAAATAAAATGGCTTCAAATCATAAAAGAGTTTGAAAAATGTTGTTAAGGGAGGAATCTACTAGCTCTGAGTGCATAAATTCTATTTTTCTGGAATATTTGACCTCTCTAGTATATTTCTACCACTCATTGTTTCTGCATTGTAATCCTTAGATAGAAAAATGCATGACAAATTGCTCTTCTTTTTTTTAAAACTCCCTCCACTTTAATGAGTTGTAAGGTAAATTTTCATTAGGAAGGCGATTCCTAAAAAATAAGTGTAATGTACTTTACACAGGGAATTACATACTGGGGCTGCTCCTCATGCTTTCTCCTTACTCAGATGAAACACCCACTGAGTCAAATCATTATAGAAGAGAAGTGTGTGAGTGTGGAGAATCCACTACCCAGAGAATGACAAATAGGCAATCCCAGTAAATACAGGTATGAAGGATGTCTGTCTTTATACATGTGTTTCTTTGAAAAAGAAAAAGTAGAAATGTGGAATTATTATGTTGGTTTACTATAGTTTATAAAGATCAGCAATGGTACATCCTTAAGCAAAATGATCAAAAATAACAATGATGGTCCTTGCTAGTATCAAGACTATATTACAGGCACATACACAGGAAAATATGGAAATATAGCAGTGTAGCAAGGACAGCAACTGATTACGCTTTTCCAGGTATTCCCCAGACATGTTACTTTATCAATACTCATCCAAATTTCGTTTCCTTCCGCAGGAATTACAGGTCCCCACTTAAAAGCAGACCAGACTTCACTTCATGGTAAAATGGAAAGTTCTGCCTGTAACATGATGACCAGAAGGAAACCAACAGCTGTTGACAGTGTTGCAATGCCAACTCCAGTATTATCTCTCCTACCTTCATCATCAGCAACATCTGAAGCAGGTAATGTTGTTTCTCTTGATCTATTTCTTCCCCATCTTCTTCCTTCTGGCACTGCACTGAACAATATGTGCTTGTACTGCTCTTCCTGATTGGAGAAGTAGCTGCAAATGTGCATATCTAATGTGATAATCAGGCTGTAATTTTTCCAACACTTTCTTATCATGATCATATCTTGGCATAGCAAATCTATTTTATTCACATACCACCATTTGTGCAATAATGAGGACACAAGCAGCACCAGCCCGTATGGTCTAGCAGGGGGCTCTGAAGCAAGACTCTTGGGTTCCTTTGTCAGCCCCGTTGTTCATTTATTTCAGTGTTCCCATCCCTGTAGCATGAACATGCGGAATACACAGTGAATAGCTAAGGAGCAGCTGAGATTTCTTTCTGCATACTTCAGTGATTTTAGCATAATATTCTGTCTTGCAAATGTGAAATTGTCTGGGGCAATGAACGATAATTTAAAACGTATCAGAATAAATAAGTCAAAATAACATGGTTTTCAATCAACTTATATTTTGTGCTTCTATTTTAAATCAGATCAGGAGGTGATAGCTTTATACAGCCAGAAACTGAGCCAAGTCATTCAAGCATCATCATGACTTTTCTTGGGCATGGATATAGAAGTTAATCTTGCATTGTGTCTTAATTTCTAGAGAATGGGGAACCCACAGTGCATTGCCCTACCTGCAGCCATTAGAAGTTTCATAGTCTCATCAAACCTTTAATTCCACATTCACAAAAAATGTATTTGTATCACTGAGTTACGGAATGATTGGATATTTAATTATTCAATTGAAATTGCTGTTTCAGTGGACTCCTTTTGATTTTCCTCTCATTTACTGAATAAATAGTGAAAACAAGGTTTTCATGCTGTAAAGTAGCCTCTATAAAGATAACTTTTTATTTTAAAAAACTCAGGATTCTGTTTAGTCTTTAATACTTTCATATATATAAACTAAGGACAGATTTTTAATGCAGCAGAGAATGAAAGCACACAAATATTTTATGATCAGTTTCAAGATGAAAGTGTATGCTTGACTGCATAGTTCATTCTTTCCATTTTCAGAAGTCTAATTAAATTGTTGGTTTATCTGTAGCCCAGATGTTGAAATAATTTAGTTGAAAACTGAAAGAAACTGTGTTAATGGGAAAACAGGACAGTGCTATGGGTTTCCTGTAATTAATAGGGAGCTCTTTGAAAATTCCTCCATTCAAACCAAGTCGACAAACTGAGCCCAGCTGTTGAGTAAACAGTCTTCTCTGTTCCATGTTCTTGCAAGCGGCCTCAAGCAGCTCCAGAGGGATGGAGAATGACAGGCAGTAAGAAGGATTTTAGTGCTGCAGACATAACAAAGCCATTCAGAATAAAGTTAGGGGACCGATAAAGAACTTCCAAGGAGTCTGATCTACCTGGGCTCACCTCCTTGTTCAACACCACTGTGCTGGAGTGGGTCCTACAGCCTACTCTAAGCTACCCTTGGAAATGCATATTTTTGGTGGAGATTTCTCTCTTTGCCTCAGAAGCTATTTCCAGCATCATATCAATCCTGCATGACTTCCCAACATGGCCTGCAAGCATTTCAATTTGTCTTTGTCTGTGAGATGGAGCCTCACTACATCTGTGGACCCCGGGGAGGGGAGAAACACCGTGTCTCCATGTTCCTTATTTTGAATGTGTAGAGCTGTGGTTTAAGACTAACATCGGTTCTTGTTTGTTTGGTGCAGCTAAGTAAGGTTGTTTGGAGATTGGGAAAATGATGAAAGAAAAGTGCAACCGTCTGTGCTGCATTAAGTATTTCTAGTTTCTCTTCACTTTGGTTTGTATTTTGCCAGATAGCTTCAGGCCTTCACGGAGGCAGCATGTGGCCATGCAGGCTGGGGAGGTGTAGGGAGATAACTGTGCCTGAGCAAAGAAGTATCCCTTCATGCAACCCTAGCACTTGGAGGTTGCCATCATATTGTATCATCTCTGTAGGAGCATATTCCCTTTTTCATATGCTTGCATGCAGATAAAGTGTTACTATTCCCCACCTCCTCTTCCACCCCTTCTAGATGAATTCCATCAGATAGAGCAAGATGAAAGTCTTCCTCCCAGAGAAAGATTTCCATGTGCAAACAGCAAAGTAGGTGAAGGAAGAGAACAACAAAGCCTAAAAACAACACAGACCAACTTGGGTCTAGGGTTGGGCAGGATTTGTCTGGATAAAATGGAAAAGATTAGTACTTGGGCTTGGTTTTCAGCAGAGCAGTATATCACATGGCAATATAGGAAAATATTTTATATCAAAGATTGGTCACCAAGAGGTTCCAGATGAGTTGATAACACCTAATGGCTTTCACTTCAGTAGTGGTTTATTTTGGCAGATCTCCCTGGTATTTTGTCATATGCACACCTCATCATATCTTCCCCCTACAGACACATCACACTGTTTTCCACATAGTCTCCCTTAACCAAATGTAGAATCAGATGTCCCTGACTCTTAATAGTCAAAATAATATTGAGTTTCCTAATATCTCCTTTAAAAAGCCTGACTTGAAATCTTATTACTTACTCAGTACATGCATTCTATTGGTGGACTATATAACACAACTCAAATATTTTCTAGAGCTTGCAGGTTCAGAGGCTTGCAAGGAAGAAAAGCAAGAGCATTCTTAGTAGCTTCTAACAAGCTTCCTGAGAAAGCCACAGACACCCCGAAGCATTTACAAAAGAAAATTTAGTGCAGTAATCCAGCGTAGAACAGCACAGATTTTTTTTTTTTTTGCTAAATGAGAAAATGAGTTTCAGACCAAAAGTAAAAGGACTGTCAGCTTGCGAAGTTTTAGGAGGGCAAAAAATTACCTAAACATGAAGAAAGACACTGAGGTTGGTGTTCAGCTTATAGATTTACATGTAAGTGTAGATATCTACCCAATAACTTCACATTAGTTCATTCTGGAGAAGTAGGCAGTTTGGCAGAAAGTAGATGCCTACCTCTGCTCCACTCATGCACTGTCTACTCACCATCAGGCTCCACTCAGAACACTCATCCTGGGTGACCTGGGCCTCTTTGCCTAAGACACCCATTACATTTGGCAGGCTGGACAGGAGACCTATACCTTCCTTATCCAGTATCAGGGCGTCAGAAGGATGTACATGGTCACCTTAAATTACACCAAGTTCCCATTTTAGAAATGGAGTTTATCCTCTATATAGACCAGATTTCCATTGGCTGTGATGGGGTGGTAATACAGAGCTGCAGAAACAACTGACTACAGATAAATCTCAGTAAAGACATAAAATCTTTGCAGATACTTGGCTAATGCTTTATTTCAAATTTGTTTCCTGTCCTTTGGCTTACTTTCTTTCCAGTGAAAGTTGAGAGTAATGCCAAGTCTCCTGATTTCACCATGAACCTTACAGTTCTTCCTGTATTTCTGCTAAATTTCCCATCTTCAAAATTTCCATCATCAACTGAAAAATTTCACCTTTACTTTCTGGAAAAAAAATGCATTTTGAATATGGGAATTTTCAAAAAGGGTTTTGAGAATGTGCCCTGACGGTAGCAATAAAAAGCAAAGGGTGGATGGCAAATACAAAGAGTGTGCCAAATTTTTGATTTCTTAAATCTACTAAGCTGAAGCTACTCTCAGGATCTGGGGGGAGACTCAAAAGAGTCAGCTGCTTAGGGCTGGAAATATTTGGACTATATATGTCAATCACCAGTGAGGCTAGATGAGAGTAATCATTTTGTGTGACAGGGATTTAACCTTTTTTGATCAGATGACTGAGAAATAGTTCACTGCCACTCGCCTTTAGGGCTCTTGCATCCAGTTTTTAGGAGTGACCTACTTGAGAGGAATTTTGTGCAACTGATTAGCTTCTCCTGAGCAACTTGGATATTTCATTTCCTTTCTCTTTTTCTTTGGTACCAAAATGACTGCATTCCTCTTTTCTTTTGTATTCTGTGAATCACAAACTGCAAGTGGGTTTTATGTTTTCTTTTTGGTGTGGGGTGTGGATTACATATGGAAAATGTATTTTGTTTTGTAATTAATGAAAACCAGACTTTGGGAAGTTGGCCATCCAGGTCTTTATTTATAAGAGAGCATATGTCTGTGTTTTGTTTATGACTCACTCCTACTTCTTGCATTGTAACTTGGGTTTGTTTATGCAAGCTCTTTGCTGAATCCAAGCAACATGGTGGTGTAAGAGCCAATAATTTATGTTCTCCAAGAGGGGAGGACAGTGAGTGAGGTTTGTATTCTGAGTCTGTTATAGCCCACAGTGAGCCAGAGGAGATTCTACCACTTGATGGCTCCTGGTTATCTACATAAAATGCTACAATAGCAAATTTAAACTTCCACTAGAAGATTAGCCCGTTAGCCATGAAGTGAGTGATAACCCCCAAACGAACCTTTCTCAAAATCTTGGCTGCTCTAGAAACTTCAGGGATTTCAAACCCAAATGATTGCTTGACAGTCAGGTGTAAATTAAGTTTGCAAGTAGATGTGGGCTGAGGTTAATTTAGTGGGATGTTTTATTCTTTACTGAAAAGAAATTCTGAATTCCATCATTTATTTTCCAGCAGCGCAGAACAGATATGTTAGGAGTGAAAGGGAGCACTAGTTTTTGCAATAGCAGAATTAATACATTCTGTTTCTCTCACAAAGGGGTAGTTACTTTTAATCTGTGTGCAAATCCTGAACTCTGAACAGATGCCATATTCAGTAAAAGACAATGAGACAATTTAAGAAAAACAAGCAAGGTCGCGTGTCCTAAGCAAAGGACCAGGAGCCAAGAAATGCTGGGTACTCTTTCCAGCTCTGACAATGACTCACAATGTGACCTTGGCAAGAGACTTAACTACTTTGGACTTCATTCAGATCTAAAGTAAGTGATCTGAACCAGGAGTAAGATTACTTTGGGGGCCATTAAAGTCAATTATATGACTGAGTAGTTTCACCTACTATCTGTGGGGATGATAGTAAAGAAACCCAGGCAGGGGTAATGAATTTTCCACAGGTGAAGTGACCCATACATCTTGTCTGTGCCCACTAGTTTTAGTAACAAACACTTTTCATAGTAACTGGCATCCATGCTGAGAATTAAAGGCTAGAGTGAAGACATCAGGAGTATAGCTTTAGGGTATAGAAAGTTTAATAGTTGCAGTGGGCCAATATGACAGCTATGCTAAGTAGCCCTTCCTTCCCTCCCACTAGAGGTTTAGAAATGAGCATGAACCAAACCCATGGTAAAACACTGCTGTAGAAAAGCTTTGTTGCTTTAAAAGAGGGGAAAGAAGAAGACAAATCTCTGAATATTGCTTGATAGTCCAAGTTGTGTTTTCATCTAGAACAGTAAAAAAGGAGGTAACAGCAATTCTTCTGTAACTGTAATAAATAATGTTATAACTTTTTTTTAGCCACTTTTCTATGCAGAGTCCTTTCTCACAGCCATCACTTCTTTAGTAGTCATATTCAACGTACTGGTCTTGAAAGCATCTAGTCTTCATGATGTGGAAAACAAGCAAAATAGAGTTTCCATTCACTGTTGTTTGACCTACCCCTGTTTCTCCCCATATCTCCCAACAGCCAGCCCACCACTGAAAAAAAGGTTCAAGCGCCGTGAAATTGAAGCAATCCAGTGCGAGGTGCGCAAGATGTGCAACTACACCAAGATCCTGTCCACGAAGAAGAACCTGGATCACGTGAACAAGATCCTGAAAGCCAAGCGGCTGCAGAGACAATCAAAGACAGGCAATAACTTCGTCAAGAAGCGGAGGGGGCGTCCTCGGAAGCAACCTCTTTCCTTCGACGAAGACTCCAGAGACCAAATGCCCGTTCTGGAAAAATGCATCGACCTTCCCAGCAAAAGAGGTCAGAGACCGACACTCAACCCTTTGATATTAGAGCAAGCAGCCACTCAAGATACAATCATGGCCACCATCGAGGCTGTCATACACATGGCTCGAGAGACACCACCCCTGCCGCCTCCTCTCCCTCCTCCACCCCCTCCACTCCCTCTCCCTCCACCCCGGACGCCCCGGGTTGGGAAAAGGAAAAGCAAGTCCCCGCAGGAGGAAGAGGAGGACGTGAAAGTGAAGCGGCACCGGAAAGGAAGAGGGAGCGAAAGTGAAGGCCTTCCCTAAGGCCAGCGCACCTCGTCGGGTGTTGGGTGCCGGTAGCAGGGCACACTGGGAGTGAGGGACTGGAGGTGCCCAGTCCACTTCACCCCTGTAGCAGCATCAGACTCACTCATCCCTTTGGCGGCCAGAACCCATTGTGGAGACCTGTGCCAGCCGGGGTTCGCATCTTCCTCTTCATCGCTTTGGCCCCAGCCCCCGCAAGAACAAAGGGGGAAAGGGTGCAAGAAACATGGGGGATCACGGGGGGGGCGGGGGGGGGAGGGTGTGTTAATGTTGGGGATAGCATCTACTTTGCAGAGTTTCCAAAACTAAGCAGCATCTCAGCATTGCTGTTGTCATACCATATCGGGAGGCGGGAGGTCATCCTTGCAGAGAGTTGAATGTTGTCACTAGGGCTGCATGCTCAACTACAATTCTGTTTGGCGGGCCAGGTGAAACTAAGAGTAAGCGTACCATAGTAGAAATCACTGTAAAAAAGGAAAAAAGAGAAAAAAAAAAAAAAAAGACAAAAAAATAGTGTAATTTTCTCAACTGTGATCTTGCTTATAATTTGTTTGAGGGTTGTTTTTTTTTTTCAGTTTTATATACCTACCAGGCTTTGGGGCAGCATAACCCAAAATGCCTGAATCCTGCTAGAACTATATATTTCTTTCTCATTTACTTGCCTAGTTACAACTAGCTGCAATATAGGCAATAGAAAAGTAGAGCCTTACACGCGTGCACACTCATTCTGAGTGCTATCCCAAGGAACAATGGAATATCACAACATTTAAAGTAAGGTGTACATGGATATTCAGTTATGATAGCACGTTTCTATGAAGCAACTTGGCATTTTCAATGGCATGTGAAAAAGGGGTCATCCGTCAACCAAGTTGTTTTAATGTTCAGTACATATGAGTAGAGAACAGCAAGACACTTCTGGGGAATAGAGTTATAGTAAATGTTGACAAAATCACAAAAAAAAAAAAAATATAAAAAAGATAAAAGAAAAAAATAGGACAGAAAAAATAGATTAAGAGGACAGGGCCCAAACTTACCAGTTCTTACCACCTGCAATTCCCCATGAAATTGATGGGAAACCCAGGATCTGAATAATTTACATTGGGTAGCAATGCCTTGATATGTTCTTTTAAAGAAAATAGATGAAGTAGATTGTTTTAAAAAAATAGAGAACAAAACCCTATGGAAAATAGGTTCTTTCTTGGCAATTATTTCTTAAAAAGAAAAGGAATAAGTGTTCTTATCTGAAAATAAAAATGTTCAAAGGGTATCACCACTGCAATTGTATTAATGCCACTTTGGACATGTTCTCCAAGTTGTGGTTGCCTTAATAAACTAAAAAAAAAATTTTTTTTTTTGTACATAATGTAATTATAGAGCTCTCAGTCTGCATGGATGCAAACTGTGTGTGACAAATCGTCTCTTTAAATGGTCAGTTCAAATTGTACATTTCTCATTCGAGCTGTACGTTAGTCATTGATTTACCTTGGGTAAAATACCCAAGCTCCATTTCCACAGCCCAATTAAAATGTTTAACTAAAAGAAGGACCGAATGTGAAACTGTTCCATTGCAGTAACAATGCTTTTAAAAAACAAGGCAGTTGTTGAAATCTGAAATAACTACTTTCAACTTTATTTCATTTCTTTTTAGAGTCCTTCAGTACACTCAAAACCTGATATGGCAAGATGGATATTAAAATGGGAAGCAGGAGGGAAAACTCCTTAAAGGGAGTGGGGATCGGAATTATTTAATGATTCACAAGCCAACTGCTATTCCCTTTTTTGAGAAATCTTTGAACTGGCTTATTGCCAAGAAAACTTCAAATAGCACGACACTAAACAACAAAAAAACCAAACAACAAACCCAACAAAACAAGTCCCTGCAAAAAACCCTGTATTTCTATTCTGTTATTTATTTACAAAAATCCTATCAAGACTATGGTGTTAAAGGGACACTGTAAACATACAGCTTATTATTTTTAGAGACTGATTTTTCTTCTGTGATAGCACCTTAGCTTATTAAACTGAATGCATTTGTGGTTTGATTGGATTAGGAGTCTGGGACAGGGGATATTTTTTACTTTTTTTTTAAAAAAGCTGGAACAAATCTTGAGATCCTATATACTTAAAACTGATAAGGGGGATCGTAGTATTCTGTTTCCAATTTGTTTTACTTTATTCATTGTACTCACTTGTGTTTTTTGTTTTCCAATTAATGCAGCTTAGAAATAAACTAGTCAGTTGCTCATTCTGTTACAATGAATTTACTTTTCCGTTCTCCTAAATTAGCACAGTGTTATTGACTGAAGTTGTAGGAATGTGGAAAAAAATGCTTAAGCCTCCTTGGGGTCCTCCCTTCTTCCTTATAAAAACATTGGACTGAGGTTTAGTTGACTCAGAAATCCTTTTCTTCCATCTCTCCTTTGGGCCTCAAAGTAGGTGACAGTGTCACTTAAAATGCAAGAAAAATTGTAGGTTTGGTATTCCAGGTAGCCTTTAAGCTGAAACTAAGCCAGATAATAACTTATCCTTAGTTTTATCTTCAGTGATCACCTTATCAGTGTTGAAGAATACTTCAGTGTGTATCAGATGGAGCAAAGGCCTGAAAGGACCAGATTCTATCACTGAACTCCCATCACGGCTTCAAGACCTGTCAGACCTTACCGAGTGCCGATAAGGGCTGGATTTGGGCTGGACCTTTCTGGATGTACTGGGATGCAACTGCCCCAAGGAAAGATCACTGAATGGCTGCTGCCTTCCACGTTCTGGAGCTTCAGGAAAAAAAATGCTCTTATCCTTCCAAAAATTACTACCCAAAATGCTGCTAGAGGCAGAGTGCTTAAGGAGAGTGTCCGCTCAGAGGGTACAACCCTATATACCCTTCACTGAGCAAAAATGTTAAGAGGTCCTTTTGGTCCTAGAGAAACTAAGGGTAGCATTCAACACTTGGTAGCTGCAAGCCATCAGTGTTGGATGGGTTCTATCCACACAACAGAGGTTTGTTTTTCGCTATAAGAAGGTGCTGGTAGAGAATGATGCTGCGTGCAGCCTTGGCTGTTTGTCCAAACAACAGCCCAATGCAGCCGGTGCTGGCTGGCAGGAAGATTATCTTGTTAACTTGTGTGGAAGCAGGCTGAAAATACTGTTAGATGGCACTCAGAATTTGTGTTCTGCATGTTGCATAGTCTATAAATATGATAAGCAAGTTGCTGACAGAATAATATTATAAGGCGATGTACTACATGCAGATCATAAAGGATTTAGTTTTAGGGCTTAAGGCTAAAATCCCACTCCTGCAGTTTATTACCCAACAATATTCCAGTAATGAGCTTTTTGATTTTTTTCCCCTACCACTAGGAAGATTTACTGAGGAACTCTCTAAATTCTCTCCACATATTTCCAAGATCTGTATAAAAGTGGGTTGAAAGCCTTTTTGCTTACTAAGACCAAAAAGACCTCTGTTCAAACACCTCTGTTGTGTCACAGATTAACACACATCTTAGCATGCTTCAATAAAAGCGCAAAACAAAATCTCATGGCTGCAAGCCATATGAAATGGGGCCATGGGTTTACATCCTCTCTGTGGGTCTTGTATTCCTCAACCCAGCGTAAAACCAGGAACTGGGACAAGTGTGAGAGGAGAGAGGAAAAAAACCAGTCATTTGTGTGTCTCCAAGAGCTTCGTACTGCCAGTTTTTTGAGCCCTTGAATATTAAATTTTTGGTGAAGCACCTTGCATGTTTTTGGGCAACTGTCATAATAAAAAAAAAAAAAAAAAAAAGAGTAGGTGATAGTAGTTATCAGCTACTAGAGTATCCTACAGCATGGCCCATGACTCTCCACTTGACAGCAATGCTTTGGACCGTTCGTGTAGAATATTCTGTTTGTGTTGTTACAGTTTTTGGGTAGCATCTGGTGCAGCGAGGTGCTGGTTCATCACTGGAGCTTCTGAGAGCTACAGCAATACAATGAATAAACAGAAATTGCTGTTCTATATGCAAGGATTTCGCCAACTCGTTTTCACAGGCTCTGATTCAGGACTGCACTTAAGCAGATTTAAGTAGCATCCTGAAGAGTAAAAAGGGCAACAAAAAAAGACAGGAAAAACAAAACAAAAAACCAAAAAAACAATATGGTTTTCTGAATTAAGAAAACAAACATTATGCCCTTGCAATGCCTCTTCCTTCCATATCATCCAAAAACTGGGGTACAGAAGTTCGGAGATAATTAGAAGCACATATTAACAAAGGACACATATTTGAGCTCTCCTTAAGATGCCTGACTAGGTTGTATAAAACACTACATAGAAAAAAAAGAAAAAGAAAAAAAAATGTAAAAACATTAAAAGAGCTGCCAATTGGACAACATGGGGAAACAGTTAAATCCCATGTTGATTTGTTTTACTTTTCTTTTTCTTTATTTTTTTAAGCTATTTCTTAAATAATAAATGCACATGAAGTGTTAAATATGTATATACTGTATTTCAAAAAAAAAAATTAAAAAAAATCAAACGAATGGGGCACAAGATTGTTCTATAAGTCGTGCTGGCTAATTTTTAGTTTGTATTCATAAGTGGTTTTTAAAAGCCTTTTTTAAAGTGTAATTTGCATGTTCTACTTTGATTGTATGTAAACATATTTTAGAGCAAAAAAATGTATTTGTATTTTATTGAATATAGAGGCAAGAAAAAAAACTTGTACATTGTTTGAAATGTTCTTTTTGTAACAGTTTTTATTCATGAAGCATTTTTGTACATTTAAAAATGGATATGGACTTGATGTTCTTTGAGGCTTAGATACATCTGGCATGCTTTAATGTCATGCTCCTTCATGATCTTAGATGTTGGTTTTTAAACATTTTTTTCTAAAACAAAGCTCAGTCTTTTCGCTACCAAATCAGGTTAGCACAGTATAGAGCACTTAACTAAAAAAAAAAAAGAAAAAAAAAAAGTTAATCCTATTCATATGTTATTCATTGTGTGAAATTAAAGGAATTCAATTCAGTCTAACATGAGTTGTGAATTCTTTTGTCTTATTTTCCATCTGTTTCCCATCACTAAGGAGTTTAATAGCTTTTGGGATACTAATACCATGCATTCACAAGCCCTCTTTATGGTAATGGAGAAAAACATGCTTTGGCTCTGTTCTTTTTTCTTTGCTTTATTTTTTTTATTTTTCCCAGAATATCCTTAAAAGTTAAAAACGGAC